CTTTCAAACGGTTTCGCCGGGACCCATTCCCTTACCTGTGGCAACGAGCTCAGGAGGGGAACCCAGAGCAGGATCAACAGATACCACAAGCTGCGGCACAAACACGCACAGGGGCCATCCATGCGCCCCCCCGTGAGTGTGCGTGGCGCTGGAGGTCAATGTGCGCGGAAATCCAACGACGTTTTACCTAAGTTGCCTCTCGAAATCTCTTGATGCGTCCTTTTCCTTTGTGCGACGGCCGACGGGAGGAGGAGGGGCGGGGGGGAGGACAGCGAGAAGCATACGACGTACCACCAAAATTCGCGGTATGAACCTTACCCGCGGTCCGGCAGATTATTGCCTCGTTAGCTACACTGTCGTCGTGTAGCAAATTGTGAGCGTATGTCAGTGCTGCAATCCGTTCCATGAGGAGCAGAGGGTGGCAAGGTAGCCGCCACGCCACCATTTTAACCATGCTCTCCTCCTTATTTTTCTCGTCCATGGTCCCCCGAAGGACATCATTCTGGTGAGCAAACGACCATCGCGAGCACACCGAGAGAGGTGGCGCTTTTGACGTTGCGGAATCTTCTTGTATGTATGTTACTGGAGTCAACTGCGACGGGCAGTATCATAATGCATCTCAGTGCAAGGCATTAAGCAACGCACGCCTTCTCAAGCTCCACCGTCATATAGACACGCCAAGTAGCGCACAACTGCTTTTCCACCATCTTCACCCCCACGTACACCATGCCACAGCCTCGGGTATTTCCTGCCAGCACACACAAAGAGGGGCAGGCACCCTTTTTTTCTCCCGAGTGAACGGATCGAATTGTTTTGGCACGGTCTCCCCCCCCTCGATTTCAAACCACTGGGCCCTGCTGCCCGCACGACGCTCATTTCGTCTTCTTTGCTGATAGCATGGGACGACCATGGGCCCAAAGGGGCGACGATAAGTTCTCAGGGGCTTGAAAATGGGCGTGCGGAGCGGGATGGGGAACGGCGGACTCATCTGTGGGCGTATGGCGGGCTGGGGTCGTGGGACGGAGTGATAAGGGAAACGCAAGGAGGAACGGAGGCCGGTCATGTCCTTTGGCGGCTTCTGACGGGCGTCACGATGGATGCCAGCCCGTGGAGAGCGCTGTGGCCGTGTGTGAACATGTCGTGCACCGTGTTGCCGGTCTTGGCGGCGCGTGCAAAGCCGAAGGGGGGGGCATTGGGGTTGGAACGGGAGTCCTCATGGACGAAGCAAAGTG